AAGGCATTCAAATTAGGATTTTTCCAAGGTTGTTAAGAGACAAATCAACAGACTAATCCAATATGGAGATAACCCGTAAGCAGTAATTCTGTCCAGTACAGATACGCTGCAGCCAGGGGGGGTTTCTCTGTTTCAGTAGGCCAATCCCGGTGATTCATACCTTCCAATACTGGCGGAGACTCAATCGGAAATTAAAACATGAAGAACTTCATCACTGCAGAGAGAAGATTCTAGAAGGTCGTATCTGACTAACTGTGGCTGGCCAGCATAGGTGTGGTAGGTAATACAAACACAAGGGGTTTCAAGCAAGAGATCTCCAACCTGGAATTTGTGAATGGTTTGAGCTGAAGTAATTGGCACAGAGAGGTTACCAAGGAATCTTTTCCAGGTATACAATTTACTATCACCTCAAAAAAAGTCTTCCTCTACATAAATGCCACAGCACCACATGTATCTTTGATAAGATCTTCATGTTGCATGACAGTTTGACGGGCAGAGCTCCTGGTCAGTGTTTCCTCTCCAGGCCTCTTCTGTCCTGCCCTGGCCTGCCCTCTCCTCCGCTTTGCCGCGCGCCACAGAGTGGCTCCAGTGGAATGTGATGACCACGGACTGGACAAAGCCCCACATTCATGGCCCCTCGTCCCACTCTAGAAGTTTGCAACTGGGAGCCTTGATCACAGAGTGGGGGATGGCCTGAGTCCATCCACCCCTCGCCTGTCCTGTCAGACACACATTGCCCACCCCTGCACCAACACATGACTGCCTGTCGCCACATCAGCCACACACCCCAGTCTTCTGCATTTCATTTCATTTTCTTCACTTCTTTAATTCATGTTGTTGTAGAAACACATGTCGAGACAGGATGCTTCCTGCTAACTTAATATTTTAAAGAGCCACAATGGAAAGCATTTGGTGTACTGTCATAGAGAGCAAGAGAATAATTATCTGTGCACTTTGGAAACAAAACAGGTGGCAAGAAGTGGAATTAATTCCGTAACATCTCTTAACCACTAGCAGCCCACCATCCATTATGCTTAATGGTAGAGATTTCAAACAAGGTGCAAAATCAAGGAAAGCTAAATCAGAGTGTCTGCGTGCACGAAATATCAACTACTTTAGTGCTGGTTCATAGATAATCAATGGAGACTAATAATAATAATGATAATAGTAATAATAATGGTGGAGAGGAAAGGAAACATGGAGCCATGGGGAAGATTACATAACAACAACATAACATTTAAAAAGCAATGCATGTACATCATCTGCCTGCCTGATTGTCTGTCTCTACTTCCTCTGTCTGAGTATCTAATAGAGTATCCATTTGCTTCCTTTGTGTAGGTAATATAATAGAGCCCAGAGAGTACCCTGTGCCTCAGAGGCTTTTCCACTGAACTTGCACATATCAAACTGCAAACACAGTAGTTACCATGCAACCACACACAAACATGCAGGAGGCATGCAAGCATGTTAATGGGTTCTTATTGCTATGCAACATGTATATTCTTGACTGGCATTACAACTTAACCCTAACCCACTGCAACTGTACCCACTCTACTGCTGCTCTACTTAAAGGATATGTCCAGTGATATTCTATATTTGTCTTATTGTCAATTAATTAATTAATCAAAAGACCTCCTAACAACGACTAACTCCCAATAGGTAAAGGAGAGCTGCTTAACAAGGAGAGATGTATCATGGCTATAAAAGAAAAAAGTCAGACCACACACCAGCTCTGCAAACGACTGGTGATGACCTGGGATGAGCCCAGGAAGCCCCTGTGATTTTCCCATCTGGATGCGCCATTACCTCTGTGGGGGATCTCTAATACTGTCATCAGATTTAATGGTTGATTTCCTCTCTTATGTTCCTCTCCAGGTGTGGCCACCCTCCTCACAGACTGCTCCATCCACAATTCATGAGAGGAAACTGATGCCATTACAATGGCCTGTATATACTCTGACAGAGAGAGAAAAAAGGCTGCAAGTCTGGTTTACTCACTGTGCAGTTATAAGAGCAAGCAAAGCTCAGTAGACTACTGACTAATCTTTTAAAAAGAGGAAGCTGGGGAGTGACCAGAGCACTGGATCAAGCAGGAAGCTTGCCAGGTTGACATAGAAAGGGGTGGGTGGTGGATGGGTGGGGGGTTGAAGAAGTGAAAATGCCGGGGCCGGAGAGGGAACAGACAGGGACTTGTTTTCTCTCAGTGTGAATGTTTAGAAAACACTTCTGACCTCCTCCTCTTGTCTATTCTTACCTGATAAGCTGAAGGTCAATGGTGAAAAGTGAAGGCTGTGTCACGGCCTTAGGGAGTGCGTGTGTGTGTGTGTTTGTGTGTGTCGCTTTATACAACATATGCTATGTTTGTTTTATGTTGATGCTATAAATGAGAACAGCAGGGAAGTGTTTGTTTTGGTGGTGGGTTGTATCTTCAACCATAATTTGGAAGAAGAGTTCCTCACTAAATTAGCTTGGTTATGAGTGTAGACTGCTTGTGTTTTTTGGCAGTCTCTGTAATATATGTACTTGATACTGAGGCATCTGCAGGTAACACAGAAAAGGCTGAACTACTTCCTTTATGTCTGCAGTTACTCTTAATCTCCATATTTGGAGAGGATGCTGCTACCTGATTAAAACTGATCTGTGGTTTTGGTGGCATGACCGACATGAATTTCAGGCATAGTTTGTGTTATCCTGTATTTATGTTGCAAAAGAAAAGATATGAATGTGTGAGCTAGAGAAAAGTCCAAAGTCTTTCTCACTTGCTGATTGATGAAATTCAAGCCCCTGCGTGCTGTCACCGGAGAGCACTGACGGGAGGGTTCAGTGCAATGCCTATTTGGTCTCTTCTGTCCAAATGTAAGCAACACCTCAGCCAAATCACATAACATAAATGATAGGAATTATGATACTTTTCCTTTCCTGCTTGGGTCACTTTTCATCCCCAAACTATACAGCTTTACTGCTGAGATACCACATATGGAAATTTCCTAGATTCTGTCTGTATTTCAGGCCAACAGTTAATAAAAAAGTTCTTATTTATTGCATTTTCATTCCTATGAACATTGTAGCCTTCAGTTCAGTGTCACTGTGCTCTAAGTGGAGTGGACAGCATGCTTGCTCCCTCAGACATTTCCACTATGCAGTAATTCACAACATACTCTCATGGGCCAGAAGGCAAGAGTATATATAGGCTCTTCTAACATTTCCCTCACGTTCTGAGGCCAGTTGGGAGATTCACTAAG